ATTTAATATTTTCCCAAGTTATGGATGAGTTACTGTAGCAGTGTTTCCTAATGACTTTGAAGAGTAGAAATAGGTTGCACTTCACTCTCCTTAACCACAGAGGCTCTAATTTCAGACGTACACACCTGTCAACATATTCCACTTGTTGGTCGAACCCTATTATGCGTTTCGTGAGGAATCTCTGGACACTTTCGATTTTTTTCTGTCTACAGTCCTGAGGTTACTAAATAGGAGAGCACAATATTCAAGTTTGGGACGGATACATGTCCTATATATAGCTAATCTTGCTTCTTGGGTGTAGAAGTTACGCAGTACAAAGCCAGTAAGTCGTTTACAGTCAGATACAACCTTATTTGCATGATCGGAAAAGGATAAATCTGAGTATGTTATCCCGAGGTCTGTGACTGTGTTCAGTTTTGAGAGGAGCTTACCGTACATATATAGGCACATTATCGGTTTCCAGCGTCCAAGGTGGGTTATACCGCACTTGTCTGGGTTGAAAGTCAGTTGCCACTTTTCGCTCCAATCGCCTAGATCATTTAAGTCTTGTTGGATCTTGCTTTCGACGCTCATATCACCGTACCCATAATCATATACTATCTTGAGATCATCTGCAAAAAGGTATGGCTTGCCATACTTGATTACAGAGACTATGTCATTTATAAATAAGAGGAATAGAATAGGGCCAAGAACACTACCTTGTATTACACCACTGGTTATCGGCTTTGAGGAAGACAACTGGTGGTTGATTTTGACTAATTGCTCTCTTTCTGTGAGAAAAGAACTTATCCATTTGTGAAGATTTCCGGTTATTCCGTAGGATTGGAGTTTTGTTAGGAGTCTGATATGTGGGACTTTATCGAAGGCCTTGCTAACGTCAAGAAACAATGTTGTTACCGAACGCCCATTATCAATGCTTTGTGTGATGTAGTCAAAATAATCTAAGTGGCAAGTAATGCACGACCTTCTACTTAAGAAACCGTATTGGGATGGGGATAGTAGGTCATTTGACAGCAAGTACTGAATGATTTGAGTCTTAACTATCTTTTCCATTACACGTGAAACTACAGACGTGATGTTGATGGGGCGGTAGTTGTTGATATCAGCTATAGGCCCGTATTTATGGATAGGTACAATATAAGACTTCTTCCAGCAGTTAGGGTATGTCCCATCGCTTAATGAAATTGAGTATAACTTGAGTAAGAGTAAACTCATGTCATTACCACCTTTTTTCAGCAGAACGGAAGATATACCGTCTGGGCCAGTAGTGTTACTAAGCTTAAGATTTGCGACAGCTTTATCGATCTCATGTGTGGTGAAAATTATGTCACTTAAACATTCGTCTGTTTTACGTGGGAAATCCACGACTTCATCGTTCTCTAAGGTGTATAATCTGGCGAAGTGCTTGCTAAACAGTTCACATATCGCCTCATTATTTTCGTAAGCAATGCCGTCTAAGTATATTATTTTCGGATAGGGTGTTTTGGAGTTCATCAACCTACTTTTTTTCTCCTGAGTTATGCGGTGCATGAATGGCCTGCATTTCTTTGTTTCTGAGGCCTATATTTCTCAACTCTTCAATTCTACTGAGAAGGGACGTTATGGCAATTAATGACGATAAGTCATGATATCTGTAGTATTTTATTGAGTGCTTACGTAGACTTCTTCTAAACGATGTCGGAATATAATCACTTTGGGGGAATCTGAAGCTAAGTGAATTGAGTTAATATTCTGATAGAAGTTGTTAAGAATTGCATCTAAGGACTGGTTCGAAAAGTACGAGTCCCAATTAGAACATCTAATTAGGTGCTGATACAAGTCCCAGTCAGCATGTGTGTACAATCTCATAGGTATCTGGCCAGCTTCATCTCTGCGTTTTGTTTCAGGAAAGATGTCAAAAGAACAAACTACTATTCTATGGTCACTACCTGGAAATTCATGTCCAACATGTACGGTAGATGGCGTTATGTTGTTCGTGAAAATAAGGTCTAGGATATTTGCGGATCTAGTGGGTGAATTTATGTGTTGTGTCCACCCTCCTGTGACGATGGAATTTATGAGATTATCGTACCTTTGGGGTCCTCGGAGTGAAGACCATGATACTTCTGGCAAGTTGAAATCGCCTCCGATAATTTTATAACTGAAAGGAAGATTGGCTGTAACATTAAAGATATTGCTAAGCATATTATCATATTCCCTGCTGGATGAAGGGGGCCGGTACACACAACCCACAAGTATAGGTTTACTTCTGACAACTTTTATTTCGACCCAGATCGAGTCATTGAGTTGTGACAGAATTGGGTTACTAAACTGGGTTGCACACATGGATTGTTCACAGTAAATTAGTGTTCCACCCCCACGACCTGTCCGTCTGTCCCCGCGAAAAAGGTTGTATTTATCAATCCTTAGGCTGTCATTGGAGATTTCACTTGTGCACCAGGCTTCGGTGATCATAATCAATGACGGTCTGCATATAGAAGCTATTGTACTTAGTGCTAAATGTTTGCTTAGAACTGATCTCGTATTTACTAGGATAATAGATAAACACTGGCTATGTGGTTTCAGTGAGCCGACAACATCTTGGTAAAAATATCCAGCTTTGAACAGGGTTTTCTTGGCACTAAGGATAGGGGCGTTGTGCAACGCGTTCAATATACGTTGTTCCCAGGTATAAGTTAACTGGTGACCCTGTGGCTCAGGCGGAAATCCAAAACTGACTACAAGTGCGGGGAGCCGGCGTAAATGCAGTGTCCTGTCCTCTCTTCTATCTTTTGTATGCGGCGGTGTTGCTATCGTTGTGTTGCCGGTGTGCGATTCGGATAGGATGAAATTTTAATGAATCTCCCAAGGGTTCAGGCACCTACTTATTTGTAAGCTTCATCAAAAGGCCATTGTGGGAGATAAACCTAAGAGAACGGCGCCATAACAGTGAGAAGAATGTCATTATTAAGGGCTTTCTTGTAGTATAAGTTCGAGGCGTGATTATTTGCAAACCACTTTCTATAGAAAGAGGTGGCAACGAGCAGATTTAACTGTTAGCTGCGCTAATATTCAGAGTATGTTCACTAAGCGGATTGAGCTGAATAGAATAATGGCACCATGATTACGGGATCATAACTTGAATCTAACGTCGGAGTTAAGCTCACCTCCAAGACTTCACAACGCACAGGACAGACTGCTAAACCTTAGAAGGAGTGGATTATTCACTTACTTCAAGAAGCGCCCGGCCATGATCAGAAGTTAAGCTCGCTCACAGGCAGGTGGAACTGCCGAAATTCTGAAGTCTAGACTAAAATGAAATGGGCAAAATATGGACCTCATTGTGGTATATCTCAATCTCATTTGCGATTGACTTTCTGGTTCAAAAACTAAGCTCGTGGACGTCCGAGTGTCGGCATCTCATGGACAGTTATAGTAAAGCCTCATTAGTTGACTACACTAAACTTGTAACTCCATACTCAAACATTTCCTTTGGCTGAAAACAGTGAGAAACAATCATTTTATAAGCCCTAGTACGTGTTAGGAGGCCTACACGCTATAAATCACAGCACTCAGCAGAATTGGACATGGTTTCTTCCACGGTGAGGGTGTGAATCTTGTACTGAATCTTCCACCCCTAGGAAGAAGTGACCAAGTGTTCAAGTTCATAGATGGAGAAGTATCCTGCGATCAAGTCCTAGCTCTAAAAAGGTCTCTAAATCCAACATAAGCGCCTCACTGGCCTCATCTCAAGACTAGTAGGTATGTCCAGAGTCTCACGTGGAGGCTGCGTGGGGCAAATCCGAGCAACTTTACACCTCGATAACCCAGCCGTTCATCCTATGGTCCGCCCAGAAGGGCAAAAGCAATGCACCCATGGATAAACTGAGAGATTTGTGGACTACTTAAGCGTGAACATTTATGGTGGATTTGAACAGTTTGTGCAGAATAAAATGGTATCATCATTTATTTTGTTGGTTACTCATCGGCTGTTTACAGCCCAAAGACGTCATTAATTTAATGCGCAGAAACAAGTTTAACATACTTGCATTGAGTTCACTACTGAACAGAAGATCAATGTGTGCATATAATGGTAATAATAATAGCCATTTTATCACAAACAACAGTATCCACACATAATGGAATTTTCGATGTTCAGTTACTAGGACAAGGAGAGACAGATAACCACTTCTGTCTGAACGCATAAGTTGGGTTTCAGGCGCATGATGGAGAATGATTCAGGATACTTGAGGTGAATGTCATTATCACACTTGAGACTTTAGGGGCCAGAAAGCTATACGTCGTCTACGGAATAAAGGTATTGCAGGATTCCGTCAACCCAGGATGACGTTCGAAACATATCTGGCTGAAAACGCAGTGGTGCAACCCGAAAAATATCATGCGTGAACTTTAGGAAGAAGCACCCAGTAAAGTCACAGACCTGACCACCGATAAAGACAACGGAAGAGGATCAAGCAAAAGTGGAAGCAATGGCCGACCATTTCTCCATCATATTCACACAGGACGTGGTAACTTTCAAAGCATCGGCCCCGTTCGCATCAGAGGAAAACGTGATCAAGACAGAGGGTGAATTTCATTTGCAGTAGGGACACAGTCTCAGCCAGTCGCATTGCACAAACCAAACACAATCAGTCACTGCACTAAGCCTTCTGAAGTTTACAAGAGCCACGACAGTCGAGTGATGGGATGAACTACTCAGAAGCCTACTGAAAATCACGAACTTACAGCTTATAACCGAGAGGCTGGCAGAAAGAAATCACTTCTGCTTGCACTAGCTCGTAAAAACGATATTGGATACTGGAATAGCTAACCTTGTTACCCTATGGCTATTGCTTCCACTGCTTACATTAGGACTTAAAATATAAGAAGAAGGAGGAAATAGCTGAAAAAACAACCCATTTTTTTGAAAACACGCAAAGAGGGAGGCTGTATCAAGTTGATTTCGAAGCATATAGATTGATGATGTTGAACATTGGCCGCTGCGCAGAATACTTTTCAAATTGGTGCGTTCCTCCGGCAGGTTATTTGTTTGTTTTTTCTTTCACTTTCTGCCTAGGATATTATGTTGAGTAAGCAGATTTGTTTATAGTAAGTTTTCTCACATGATAAGAGTGGGCTGTAGTTCAGGTTCGAGTTAACCCTGATCACTGCCTGATTAGTCAACGTTATAACGTTGACTAATATATAATACAACTTTTACTTCCTGCTTCTTCACCTGCTAGCCTAGTTTCAAAATCTTAGCTCTATACGTGTTGATTTTATTGATAAGTACACTACGAACTTCATTACCCTTAAATTATACATGAGTTTGGGGATTTAACTGCGAGGTTAGCACCCATTGTCCTTCAACTCAAACTTGAGTAGTTTTTACTTCTCAATGACTTGATTAAGACGTTAGTTACATACTAATAAAAATATAATGTGTAATTTACACGTCATAGTTTTCGGGACTGAATAACTCATATAGTTTTATTTGTGCACCGTTCATATTTGTGTTTATTTCAGTGTAATTGTGTTTGTTTGGTGTTGAAAAATGTGACTTTTTGAGTAAATCACTCTAATATCAAGGCTGATGGTTTTTATTCTGTTTTCATTAGAGTAGCAGTTGGAAATTGCAAACTGAATTAATAAATGGAGTGGCCTGATGTTTATAAATACATAGAAAACTAGGTGGTATCTTCAATATATGCTTTCTTAGTTCGAAATTATGTGTAATTACTGACTTTCAGGAGGTTAATTAGTGAATTTTCATGTTTAACTTAGTAAACTTATACAGGCTCTAAAACTTTTACTATATAAGGGCCGATAATATAGCACGAACATCAAAGTTTTATATTTGAACCAATTTTTCACTAGTTAAAATCCAATCGCCCACTTTGGCTCCACTTCTAGCAATAAACTATATGTTTCAAACTAACTACTAATTTTAGAAAGCCTTGACTGACTGAATGACTGGTATCAACAAAGAACTTTGAGCAGATGTGCAGCAGTTCCATTTGCCACTCTCCCTCCATGTAGCACACAGAAACAGTAGTGACCAGAGGGAGATCCAAAAGAAAGATAATAAACGGAAGTGTGTGAGGGAAAAAAGAATAGTAATATGGAAGAACAATAGGTTTTCATTGGATATGGCAAATCACAGAGTGAATGCGTCTTCATCCATTGAGAACGATGATTTGGAGCAATATCACTTATTGTCTTTAGCCATTGGCTTTTACCATCCCGACGACCCCAACCAGCCACACAGTCTGCACCTCTCTACGTGGCTAGCTGGCTTAAACTAACTGTTGTAGATTTCATTGACTGATAAAGTTATGTTTCGGTTTGACCACCACTGGCTCTTTTCTAATCGGATCTTATGTCAGCTGATATTGCCCGTTGTTGAAGGCGATGGCTAGACATGCTTGAATAACACATATCCTAACTATCTCAATCGGTTTAAATTCAAAACCTCGTCGATTAATTCCCCCTCCCTACCTAGCACTCCACACCTAACCTCAGTATTGCTTATTATACCTTATTATACTACTTTACTTCGGCTATCTCCTACGGGAGGATGAGCCGGCTTCATGAACATCTCGAATCATCGCTGCCCAGGCGCGGCGATCTGATGCAAGGTTTTGCGACAGGGTTATCCAATTCTTGTTCCACAGACGGAGTCCGTAGACGGTTTGTAGCCCCAGGCACTCCATATCAGCCTTGACTGTACCAAGCCATGTTTTCAGCTGTCCACCCCTGCGACATCGCCAAGATGGAAATGGCGAGGGATTTAGAACTGATTTGACCAGATCGTCATCTGGTCGGCGCAGAACATGGCCAAACCACCGAAGGCGACGTTGTTGGACCAGTACTGGAATTTGGTTGATGTTGTAGCAACGACGACGCACTTCTTCGTTGGAGAGTTTGTCCTGCCAACGAACATGCAGAATGTACCTGAGGCACCAATGGTCTACTACCTCGAGTCTGCGTAAATCTTCCGCGCGAAGAGGCCAGGTTTCACAGCCATACAGGAGAACGGGTCGTATGGAGGCTTGGTAGACCCGAATTTTAGTCCTGAGACTGATTTCCCTCTTGCTCCATAGAACGCTCCTCAGCTGTAGAAACGCATTCCGGGCGTTGGAGATTCGCGCATTCACTTCGTTTTTCGCTTGACCGTTGGGGAGCATTATGGATCCCAGATATCTGAAGGATGGCACAATTTCAATAGGTGCTCCATTCAGGGATAAGATTTCATCATTGCTGGTGGATGTGTTCGAAAACATTTTGGTTTTGGAAGTGTTAATTTCCAAACCGATAGTAGGCGCGAGGTGGTTTATCTGATCGAGCGCCTGTTGCATATCGGGGAAGTTTTCAGCTAATAACACGACGTCGTCGGCGAATTCGAGGTCGGTTATGTGAATATCGGGCGAAAGTTGGACGCCGTGGTGCTCGGTTAGGGCGTGCCGCAAAATCCAATCAATTGTGAAATTGAACAGGATGGGGGATGCTGGACAACCTTGCCGGACACCGCTGGTTACCTCAAAAGTGCGAGACTCTTCACCGTTCACTCGGACTCGAGCTTTGGTGTTGGAGTAGTATGACCTGAGCAGGTTGATTAGCTTGGTCGGAACTCCGTCGAGCTCCATTAGATACCAGAGTGCTCCTCGATCAACTGAGTCGAATGCCGCTCGGAAGTCGATGAAGCAAGCAACCGTCGGCTGTTGGAATTTGTCCCTGTGTTCCAAAATTCTTCGCAGTGTGAATAATTGATCAACACAGCCTCTTCCAGGTCGAAATCCGGCTTGATTTGGCCTTGTTCGCACGTGGCGTTCGGCCGCGAAGCGGTTCAGGAGAATGGAAACAAAAACCTTAGCAGCGATATCAATCAGACTTATGCCTCGGTAGTTCTCGCATAGTGACCTGTCTCCCTTTTTGTGGAACGGTAGCAGAACTGAGGTGCTCCAATCGGAAGGAATGGTTTCGGACTCCCAAATTGAGCAGAACAGCGAGTGCAGCGAATCGATTAGCGCTGGAGTGCAGGCCTTGTATATTTCTGGAGGTAGACCATCTTCGCCCGGAGCTTTTTTGTTTCTGAGTCTGTTAATTGTTTTAGCTATTTCGGTTGGAGTGGGTGGATCGCAGTCAACTACGTAGGGTGTTGGTAAGTGTCGTATCGGTCGATGAGACGGTTGACCAGCGTTGCGATTGAGTAGCTGCTTGAAATGTTCGGCCCATCGTTCCATCTTACCATTGGTGTCCGAAATAATTTCTCCTGATGCTGTGCGTAACACAGCATGACTGTTAAGGCGTTTGCCAGATGATAGGCGTATGAGGCGATAAAGTTTTCCGAAATCGCCTACATTTGATGCTGCTTCCATGTTAGTCGCTACATTAGACCAATAGCGATTTCTGTCATTCCTAGCAGACTGTGTAGCTTTGCGCCTGAGGGAGCGATAAACTGGAGACTTTGCTAGGCGAGCGTCTCTGGCTTGCGAGGATAGATGCATGGTGTGCTCTGAAATCCAGTCTTTCTGCTTGTTGGATGTGGTACCCAAATGCGACATTGAAGCTTTAGAGACTACTTCTTTGAAATGATTCCATCGTGTCTCAGGTGTATTAGAAGATGTGGATGTTGGTTCATCTGCGGCGCTTAGTTCGGCCTGGATTTGTTTGGACAAGGCTTGTCGCTTTGTCGAACATTGAAGCGGGACAACATTGATACGCTTCGGAGGTCGCGCCTTCTGGCGTGTTGTTAAACGAAGTTTGAATTTCGCCCGAACTAGAGTATGGTCTGATCCCCCTTTATTTCCGGCCTCTGCGCCACGATAGGATCGACAGTCCTCCACCGAGGAGATCCAGCGTGAGCGCACTAGGATGTAGTCGATCTGATGTGCAGTGCGACCGTCGTTCGAATACCAGGTGAGATGTTTTCTAGGGTGTTGAAATCGAGTGTTGGTGATATATATTCTTGCTTACATTCTCTATACTGCTTTGCACTGTTCTGAGTGTACTAAATGAAGTGTTTTTCTGTTTTCTTTGAACTCTAGAATGGTGACATTCACCAAACACTTATTATTATAATACTTGTCTGACATTTCTTTTAGTGAGTAACGCTTACAAATGACTTACATTTACGCTAGGTTTTTATTATTTTAGAAGTATTATGATTGTCATAAATGTTTTTCTTTTTCACCCATATAGGTCATTATCTATTTACATTGTAGACTATTTGCTTATATATATTTCGGGATATAACGAACGGGATGTCATCCAACATTGGTCTCATCAGCCGTCAGTGTAAACGAACCTGTGATCGTTATTTGTTTTTCGACCAAAAGATAGCTGTAGAAAAGTTAACTGGCTTGGTTTTAGTCGGTGAAACGTTCAGTGAAAGACGCTCAGAAAATCCTGGTAGGCTAAAATCATCCCGTTGACAATTGATTTTAGATGAACAATCAACAAATCGTCTTTTGACGAATTATATTTCATCTCTTCAAAAATTCTACTGTAATATATGCCAGTTGAAAATGGACAATGCTATGGATATGGTATCGTTCATGAAAAATCCTAAATAATAATGATTTCTCTCTCCAGCGTGATCATTTCAAAAGTGAATGGCACATTTTTAACATGAATCGATCGATACGTGGTCAATGTCCATTGGATTTTGAGTTATATAAAACTGTAAAAGATGAAAATAGAAATATTCCAGAAATCAATGACAATAGTCAAGGTGTTGTAACAGATAGGAATAGATCGTCGTCAACGTGTACCGAATCATATCCTGATAAGGATACTAGTGATCAAGGTGGATCATCTGATACAGTTACTACTGCTTCATCAATTACTGCATCATCTCACAAGCATATGCTGTTTTTCCGAAATAAGAATTCTGAAATTATTGGGATCAATCGTTGCGTTTTATTCACTCGCAAGGTAAGAAATTATTTGGAATACATTTTTAATCTGCTGCCATTTCTCAACTCTGCTCTAAATTGAAGCCAGTAAAACTCTGCTATGATTTTCATCACCCGATAGATTTACTTATAATCTAAGAACAGGAATTATTTTGATATCCGTTGTGTCAGATACTTCTCTTGGAAGACCAGCAAGTCAACTATGCTTCCTCCCATTCTGGGGGGAGAGTAGGGTTAAAAAAGTTCGACCTCAGAAGTTTTACATCCCGACTTATCCTTCGGCAATAAAGTCTTCATACAAACAACTGTAGAAACCACTCCAAAGACAGTGTATGTGATCGGTTACTCCTGAACATGTGACCGTGGCAAACTTTTCACTTTCACGTTTGCATTTATTTTACGTACAACAACTAATTGCATTTTCAGGCAGTTGGCAATATACCATCTTTGTTTTGTGTGGGCTAATTATACTACTATATGTGGTGGGGGATTTTAAACTGTGATCCTGTGATAGGAATCTTATTATTGTTTGCTTGAATTCCCAGAAGAACATAGGGCTTCAGTCGCGCGTCTCCATTGCGTTCGGTCCTCTGCCAACGTTTTCACCTACCTCCACGTCTGCCCACATGCTTTCATCTCCTCTTCACATGACCTCCTCCATGTCACCGTCTCACTGACGACCAACTCACCTCTTCGCGTTTGGGTTCCACTCGAGAGCCTGTCTTGTGATGTCACTCACTTAATGGTTTGTTTTCTCAGAGTATGACCAATCCACCTCCGTTTCATCCTACATATTTGTTGTACAGTCGGTTCCTGAGATCCCCCTCCCTGTTGCTGATCTTCTCTGGCCGGTCATCTGATTTTCAGTAGTATTGAGCGAAGACAGCTGTTGATTAAGATTTGTAGTTTGTTCGAAGTGTCCTCCGTGACGCCACGCCATTGAGTAACACTGCCTTTATATTGCAGTTGAAAATCCGAATCTTGTTTTTCATGCTGAGTAGTGCTGTTGACCTCCACACAGACTTGATGTGAGTAATGAAAGCTTCCCTTGCTTTCTCGATCCTTGCACTTTGATGTCCTCACCAGTTTCGTCCACCTGTAGTTGAAACAATGCTTCCCAGGTAAGTGAAGCAGGTTGCTTCTTTCAGATTCCTCTCATTTATTCTGATTGTTGTTACTGAAATCATTTAGAGGAATGAATATCAACATGTACTTGGACAAAAGATTACACAGTTCATTATCACTTTATTGTAAAGCATTACTAACTAAGGAGGAAAAAGCAGGCTTTTTGATACAAGGAATGACAGTTTTTGTTAGTTTATTGTTTTTATATTTTTACTGTATTCCTTTACGTTCCCAGTGGAACATAGGGCACCTTCAAGCTAGAGCGCTTTGAAGTCTCGGTAGCGGTAGCCATTGGTCTTTACTTTTACAGGACGCCTAGTTTAAAAATAGGAAGTGAAGTGGTAGAGCACGTTGACCGCTTCACTTATTTGGGAAGTACCATCAGCCAGTGCCAACGGGCTGATCTCTGACGAAATCTCAGCACGAATACAAGGGGCTCGTTTCGCATTTGTTAGTTTACGCCGACTCTGGCGTAGACGAGATGTTCGACTATCGACCAAAGGGCGGGTGTACTGCTCATCAGTCCGCTCCGTCCTCCTTTATGGTTGTGAGACCTGGCCACTGAGAGTGGAAGACATGAAAAGACTAACTGTCTTTGATCATAGGTGCCTGCGTTCTATTTCCCGTGTAAAGTGGCATAATAAGGTGAGCAACATGGAGGTTAGGCGTAGAGTTCTAGGTAAACAGGGGAAATCAATCGACGAAGTCGTGAAGCTACAAAGACTGAGATGGTTAGGACATGTGTCACGTACGTATGTCTAGTAATCGCCTTCCTCGACGAGCGATGTTAGAGGATATAGGGTCAGGCTGGAAGAAAGCTAGCGGCGGTCAAACAAAAACTTGGCACCAGTCAATGAAATCCACAACAGTTGGTCTAAGCCACGTAGGAAGGTGTAGACTTCCAGGCTGGGGTCCTCGAGACGGTAAAAATCAATGGTTGGAAACAATTGGTGACATGGCTCAAAATCGTTCTCAGTGGCGCAGATGCATCCACTCCCTGTGACTTATGATCTTCAATGAAACTGTTTTGTATTTCTTTATTACTCCTTTGCCTCACACCTCTGCTCACTGTCTCTATTATGCTTTTCTTGTACTTTCTTCTCTTGCTTCGCGTGCTACACGCAATGTGGCGAATTGAACTTCCGCACATTTGTGCAAAGTTCTATGTCGGAAACAGACAGACAGGATGTGGTTGCTAGCCAACCTCACGTCCATCCTTTCCTCTTTGTCAGTCTTGCTACTGGCTGTTTTGTTTTTGCTGTTGTCGAGTAAACTAGATTCAGTACTGTACCGAATACAGTGGTTAGGACTCTCGCCGACCATGCACATGGTCCGAGGTTCGATCCCCTGCCGACTCACACCTGATATCTATGGTCGACCTGCAAAAAACTTTGGGCTACCGATATCCAGGCTGAAAATTCCATCCATACTTGTACCAAAAATACAGTGTGGAATCAAGCTGTAATAAAAAATAAAATAAAATAATATCATAGGTGCTGTTTTGGAATTAAGCAAATTATTACGTCAAATCTATCGTATCGGTTGGTTATAGTACGAATAAGACCTAGTTATGTACACATCATCATCACTAGTGAAAATGTAGTTCATTGCCCTAAACTCTCCAGACTTTCATCCTTTGGGTTCAGGATTCTAGTATCTCTGCGTCTACTTCAACCTAGGTAACTGGAGTAGCGTTATTAGCCCTCTCACTATATGCGTGTATGTGCGGTTTATAGCTCTGTACTACTGGGCAGCTGAGTTCTAACTAAGACGTCAAGAGCCATTGGATAGGGTCCCAGGGCTTGATGGCCTATAAGCTCGCCTTGTGATCGATAGGTCCTGGATTCGAATTCCGGCGGATGTGTACTGATGAAGAGTTCCGAGCTAGGACGAAACAGCTGTCCACTACTCCCAAGTTTTCTTATGGTTGTCTAACCGATGTCAGCTCATGATGAAATCCTGTAACCAATCAAATCAAGTCGCTGCAAAACCAATACTTGAATAACTAAAATATTGTCAGTTACTGAACACACATCGATTTTATCCTATTGCCAATATCAAGTGAATAGGACATTTTACCCTATACAATTCAAAATAATAAGTTTAAAGAATCCTAGTGTTATGCTGTTTTTGTTTCTTATCTTTAGACTATGCCTATGACTATGGATGAACTGCTGGCGTGTGTTTCACGTGTTCGACAAAGTCGTAAATGGGCTGTACTTTTATATTCTGGAGGTAAATTTGCTGGTGGCATTTTTGATGGGTAAGTTTTAAAAAGTCATCATTTAATGATTTTATTTGTTTAAGACTTTGAAAACAAAAATCATAATTGATTTTTACACCAGATTATTTTATAAGTTGTAACGCCAATGCTCAACGTTTGCACACTGATTTATTTGTTGCTGTCATTATTAGTTTGATTCAATGGGGGGTTAATAGTTCGCTGAAGTTGCTGTTAGCCAGAATTCGAATGGTTTGGACTGTGATAGTGTTGTCTGAATTGATATATGTGTAAAAATTGGGCAATGTGGTGATAGTAAGTAATTCCATATTAGTTTGTTTATTAGATGTATCACACAGTGAGTGAAACAGTACTATTTAACTGGATGACAAAGTTTACAACACGATCTGTTATTCTTCATAATCATTTTATCAATTATAATCACACGACTTTGAAACTTGAGTTTTATAGTTTTCCTTGTCTTCTCCTATTTGTCGTCGTACGCGGGGTAGTAGAGTTTTCCAGATATCCGCCTGGACAGGTGTTGAATCATTCCTATTACACGTGTTGGTTTGCAGTTGATTCGATAAACAAAGCTTCTGTTATCAATCTCTCCCTCCACCCTGTCACATTGTCTGTCTGTTTTCGACATAGAACTTTGCACAAATGTGCGGAAGTTCAAGTCGCCACATTCTGTGTACCACGCGAAGCAAGAGAAGAAAGTACAAGAAAAGCATAATAGAAACAGTGAGCAGAGGTGTGAGACAAAGGAGTAATAAAGAAATACAAAACAGTTTCATTGAAGACCATAAGTCACAAGGAGTGGATGCATCTGCGCTAGCCACTGAGAACGATTTTGAGCCATGTCACCAATTGTTTCCAACCATTGATTTTTACCGTCCGAGGACCCCAACCAGTCAGGAAGTCTACACCTTCCTACGTGGCTTAGACCAACTGTTGTGGATTTCATTGACTGGTGAGGCCAAGTTTTTGTTTGACCGCCGCTAGCTTTTTTTCCAGCCTGACCCTATATCCTCTAACATCGCTCGTCGAGGAAGGCGATTACTAGACATACGTACGTGACACATGTCCTAACCATCTCAGTCTTTGTAACTTCACGACTTCGTCGATTGATTTCCCCTGTTTACCTAGAACTCGACGCCTAACTTCAATGTTGCTCACCTTATTATGCCACTTTACACGGGAAATAGAACGCAGGCACCTATGATCAAAGACAGCTGGTCTGTCACATTAGATTTTAAAACTGTCATCTTATCTCATCCTATTGTATGGTTGTCTGTAACTGCATGTAGTGACTGCTATGGATGAATTATTCTCTAGATTTCTTATCTTATTCAGGTCAACTAATCTAGATTTTGCTAGGTTCTTTTACTCTGCTTGTCTAACTGACCCGTTCTAGTACTTTGACGTAAGTTATTTGACCTGAAAGTCATTAGGTAAACTAATCTGTTTTGTTTTATTGGCCTCACAGGGAGCACCCTTTGACCCACAAAGCTTGTTTCTAATTGTGTTTGTGGTTGGTGTGAACGCCAACCACTTTTATTCCTGCTTTGTTAAGAATTCTGCGTAAGGTTTCCGAGGTTCCTTCTTTGTATGGCAGGAATTACTATTTATGATTTAGATTTCTTATTGTTGGCATTGTCATTATCCTGCATATGTTTGACATGCATGTCGTCATTAATATAAATGTAAAAACAAAATTAATACTAGTGGTGATAATAATAATAATCGAATCAACTGCAAATGCATGCAACAGGAATGATTCAACACCTGTCCACCCAGATATCTGGGAAATTCTACTACCCCTACTACTACGACAAATAGGAGAGGACAAAGAAAACTATAGAATTCGAGTTTCGAAGTTGTGTGATTATAATTGATGAAATGATTATGAACAATGAATAAATTTCGTTCGAAACCTTGTCATCCAGTAAATAGTACTGTTTCACTGTTTGTGAATGATACATCTAATAAACAAACTAATATGGAATTGCCAGTTATGCTGTCTCTCTACTCTGAAGGGGGTGGGTGTTAGAAAAGATCGACCCCAACAATTGTACATCCCGACTTACCCCACGATAATAGTGATCTGTAACTGGCAGTAAGTTTACTAACACGGAACGAATCCCAGAAATCAGTCCATATAGGCCGTGTGTATGAGTGGCCAGCAGCAAGCAGTTATCCCCTGGGCTCTGCGGTCACGCAACACTAACCCTCTTTTTGTTTCAGATACGTGCCCAAAGAATCAATCAACTTCCACGGTTGGTTGGGCAGCCGGGAAGTAACAACCGCCCACACATTTCATTCCCTTTTACCCACAACACCTTCATCATCTTACTTCCCTAATACAGTCAGTACTATTCTTCAGGCTAGTGAGGCATCTTTACTTCACTCTGTGAACACAAATAATGATGAAAGGCATAGAAATACCCTCGACAGCCTCTATGGTAGATGTATATTGATGTGTAGGTTATGTAGTTTTCGGATAGAATTTTTATTGGATATTGTGTTTCTCTCTAGGCTTCATTGTTCCTACATTTTGTTTTTTTTGGATTGTGAGAAAAATGGATAACACGTGTTCGGTCAGAAACACACATATTTCAGTGTAGAAGTATTTCCTCTCATCAAGGTCACGTTTGTAATCTAGTTTCCATTGATTATTAAGTCAATATTGACGAATAAATTATAATTATATTTCAATATTAAACAAGCCATAAAAGGTATTGTTGTTATTATTATAACTTGATTCCACACAGTATTTTGGTACAAGCTTTGAAGAACCCAAACATTTTACCTATAGACAGCATAGGAGTACTTCAGACGCTGCAGCCGTCTTACACAACAGTCTCATCGTCTCATCATTAGATAAAGGTGCCAAATACGTCCGCTGCGCGTTTCTCGACTTCACTTCTGCTTTCGACTCTGTACCTAGATGTCTCTTGCTAAATAAGCTCTCAACGATACTAACTGAGTCCTGGGTCACTAACTGGTTGCATTCCTACTTTTCAAACAGAATGCAGTATACCGTATACAAAGGTAAATCCTCCTCTGGTGTGCTCACTGAAGCTGGTGTCTCCCAGGCTGCTGTACTCTCTCCACTTCTCTTTTCTTTCTTTCTTTCTACACGACCTACCATCTTCAAATGACATTAATTTTGTCAAATATGCTGACGACCTGACTGTATCTTTACTTGTCAAATGTCAAAGTGACTGCTCCAAACTAAATGGCTTTTTATCAGAAGTCAGCCAATGGTCCAAGGAAAATGGTCTTCCCTTAAACGCTCCAAATGCCAAACAGTTAATTTCACCTTTAGGCATAAATCTGACCTAAACAAACTGGTGAGCACTCACGAGGTGTGTAACATAGATGGCACTGAAATAGAAACTAAGTCGGAAATTAAATACCTGATCTTTCCTTCCTGGTCTTCTCATATTTTGATGATTTCTAAGAAAATATTGCTTCTTACTTTCTACATCAAGAAGTTAAGACATTCTGGAATAACCCAACCCTTACTACTGCAATTCGGTAACTCTCGAATTCTGCCTATTATTCTCTATTGTTCCCCCTTGGTTTTTCCAGGGCTTTTGAAGAAAGACTATATCTTATTACGTAGGGTGTTAAAGGTTGTCAGTAGGGTAAGCTACGTGCCATTTAACCAGTTTGTTAATATTCTGGTTGACAGGCACATGGACTCATGTGAGAAATGGGCTAAATCCATTCTATCTATCTAACTCACACCACCACCCTCTTCATTCACAACTCTTCCCTTGTATCTCATCAGGCAGGCTGACCAGAAGCCTATATAGAAAGCCTATATGCTCGAACTAACTAGCAAGTACAAAAACTAACTCAACCATACCCTACTTGGTTGGCTCGTGTTATGTGCGATAAAGAAAGCATTAAGCTTGATACCTAAAACTTATTAAATAGTCAGTAGAACACCTGACTGGATCTCGTCTTTCCAACTCATATCATTTATAGATACAAAGTTTTCCTTCTTTTCCTTTTCTCTCTCTCTCTTTCTTCTGTTATATGCTGCTTTGTTTCTTTCTTCTGCTTACGCCAGTAAATATGCTGGCGTCAACTTTTCTAACACCTTCAAACATTCTGTTCACTTTTGGCTTTGCTACTGAGGTGTTAATATGTTGTTGTCAAAACTAACTGGGACTACATGTGATCTATGTAGAATTTTATTTTATTGTTAATGTACTAACTGGATGCAATACTGTAGTGAAATTACTGAGAATTCCATTCTGTATCACAAGTACTGTTTTGGAATGGGGCAAATTATTACTATTATTATTATTATTAAGTATGGAATTTTCGGCATGTGGTACCGGTAGCCCAAATTTAGCAAGCCGATTATTGACATCTGTTGTGAGTCGGCCAGGGATCGAACCACACACCATGTGCATGGTTGGCGAGCTTCTTAACCGCTGTGCCACCGACGTACACAAGTCATAAAAGGTGTTAATAAAGCAGGATTTAATGAATTCATTAAATTTCGGGTAGAGCTCTTCCTCAGCTGGATGGATACTCGACATATTTACAGGGAGCGATATAAAATTCAAATAAAATGCATTGTACGGTTTAATTACATAACTTAAATAAAAAATTAGTCAGTTATCAGTGAGTGGAAGAACTTGAATATATTAATAATTGTTAACTAAATAATATTTATAATAATAGCAATGTTAATAATAGTAACAAGAGTAATAATATTGAAACAAGTTGAGATGTTCGTAATGATAAAAGACGGTTTTCAATGAACTAGAAGAAGTAATAGTAAGAGATAGAATAAAATATTAATACTGATAACGGTTAATTAGTGAAACATATTACCAACAAGTTGGCAGAAGAAGCATCCAGAGAAGATAGGCCTTCCTTCAGGTGAACATAGAGAAAAAAGAGGTGATGAAAATTCCTGGCCAACACCAACAGCAAAAACAACAACAACAACAGTCAGCCAGCATGAATGGGAGAAATCTAAAAGAAGCAATCTCCTTTATCAACCTACTCTCGTGGGAAGCATAGTTTCAACTACAGGCGAACGAAACTGATGAGGACATCAAAGTGCAAGGATCTAGAAAGCAAGACAAGCTTTCATTACTCTCAAGTCTGTATGGAGATTAACAGCACTCAGCATAAAAAATAACATTCAGATTTTCAACTCCAATGTGAAATCAGCGCTACTTTACGGATCAGAGACTTGGCGAGTCATAAAGAGCATCTCAAACAAACTTCAGACCTTCATCAACAGTCGTCTTCGCTGAATACCACTCAAGATCAGATGGCCAGCCAGAAAAGATCAGCAACAGGGATCTCTGGGAGCGAACCAACTCAGCAGGAACCGATTGTGAAACAAATAAGCAGGAAGAAATGAAGATGGATTGGCCATACTCTGGGGAAACCATCAAGTGACATCACTAGACAAGCCCTCGAGTGGATGGGAAGCGGCGAGTTGGTCGTCCATGGGTGATTTGGAGGAGGTCATGTGAAGAGGAGATGAAAGCATGTGGGCAGACTTGGAGCCAGGTGAAAACTCTAGCAGAGAAACGAATGCAATGGAGACGCGCGGCTAAAGCCGTATGTTCCTTCAGGAATTAAAGGAAATAATAATAATTACCATGGTAGATTCAGAGTGACAACTATTTCCTTTTTGTTTACAGAGACCTGGTTTATAAACTCTAATCATACAATCTTCCTCCACAATTGCAAGCATCTTCCCGTTTGTTTCTTTGTCTGCTGATTGGTAACAGTGAATGACTTCACAGTGAGTCGATATCATATCCGTAGTCGACAAGATGCTTTGTCAATGAACTTTTTGGCAGTTTGAGTTCATCTGTTTACAACCAACTTGGCAAATGCTCTATCATGCGAGTAGACGATCGCCTTATTGTACAACCTATGTGTCTGATTCCAAAAACACACGCAAGCTGATATATGCAGTTTGAAGTATCGAAAACCCGTTTTCCTTAACACCACCAAGTGAGTGCTTCAGCAATCTGGGAAAGACCAGACACCAATCCTCGACACTTCAAACTGCTGAGTGTATCGATTTGATAAGTGTGTTTGTGGAAGCAAATATATAGGTTGTACACAAAGGTGATTGTCTACCTGCATGATGGAGCATTTGCCAAAGTGGTTGAAAGTCAAAATCTCAAAAAGTTCAGTAACAAAACATCTTGTAGACTACGGACTTGATGTTTATGCACTTTCAGGTCATTCACTGTTGCCATTCAGCAGGCAGACAAACTGGTAGGTGCTTGCAATTGCAAAAGCTTGTGCAATTAAAGTTTATAAACCTGTTAATCACTGTTTTTAGAAGGAAATGGTGGTTACCCTGAATCTACTATGGTAATCTGTTTTACTTGGGTGCGTACTGCCGATGATTCCCAAACTAGGCTGATGAAACAGCTGTCCAGTACTCCCTATCTGTCTATCTGTCTGTCTGTTTTCGACATAGAACTTTGCACCATAGTGCGGAAGTTCAAGTCGCCACACTTCCTCCTTGTAGCACACAAAGCAAGAGAAGAAAGTACAAGAAAAGCATAATAAAGACAGTAAACAGAGGTGTGAGACGAAGGAGGAGTAATAACGAAGAACAAAATAGTTTCATTGGAAATCATAAGTCACAAGGAGTGGATGCATCTGCGGTAGCCATTGAAAACGATTTTGAGCTATGTCACCAATTATTTCCAACTATTGATTTTTACCGTCCCGAGGACCCCAACCAGGAAGTCTACACTTTCCTACGTGGCTTAGACTAACTGTTGTAGATTTCATTGACTGGTGAGGCCATGTTTTTGTTTGACCGCCGCTAGCTCTTTTCCAGCCTGACCCTATATCCGCTAACATTGCTCGTCGAGGAAGGCGATGACTAGACATACGTACGTGACACATGTCCTAACCATCTCAGTCTTTGTAACTTCACGACTTCGTCGATTGATTTCCCCTGTTTACCTAGAACTCAACGCCTAACCTTAATATTGCTCACCTTATTATGCCACTTCACACGGGAGATAGAACGCAGGCACCTATGATCAAAGACAGCTAGTCTTTTCATGTCTTCCACTCTCAGTGGCTAGCTCTCACAGCCAGCCATAAAGGAGGATGGAGCGGACTGATGAGCAGTACACCCGCCCTTTGGTCGATAGTCGAATATCTCTTCTACTAAGCCAGAGACGGCGTAAACTGGCAAATGCGAAACGAGCCCCCTGTATTCGTGCTGAGATTTCGTCAGAGATCAACCCGTTGTCACTGGCTGATGGTACTTCTCAAATAAGTGAAGCGGTCAACGTGCTATACCACTTCACTTCCTATTTTTAAACTAGGCGTCGCTGTAGTCCAGTCCTGTAACATCATGTTGCATTTGGCGGGAGCGAATCGCATGCTAAACGTTCGTAGATTGCGGCTCAATGTGTTTAGAAGACTCTGCATTTCGCCAGCGTCTTCGCCTAGAAGGACTATATCGTCTGCATATTCCAAGTCAACGAAATTATTCCCTGGTAGCAAGTCAATCCCTGAGTCGCTGAAGTCACTTAGGGTTAAGTCCATTAACACATCTATGATGAAGTTGAATAGAAAAGGAGATAATGGGCATCCTTGACGGACACCACTAGTCGTCACCAGTTCAGATGACAACTTGCCGTAAGCCCTCACCTGGCTGTATGAGTACGAGTAGAGTGATGGCCTTAATCAGTGCAATGTATTTTCTCGGCATTTCCTTTACAGCCTAGCATCTCCAGAGAACTTCTCGGTCGACAGAGTCGAATTCCACCTTTAGGTCAAGGAATATAATGACTGTTGGACGCCGGTAGGAATATCTATGTTCTAGTACTCCCTGTGGCTGGTTTTCAATGGTTCTCTAACTGATATCAATCCGTGATCAACTCGTAAAAACAAAACTAACCCTTACAAATCAAACTATTGAAAATTATTATCAACACTTTATTTTACTCAACCTCTTATTATTACTATCTCTGATCCACTTAAAACTATCTATTAATCATTACCACTATCTTAAGTCGTTTCAATATTATTGATTTCTGATTATTATTATTATTGTCACTATTATTATCAATGTTATTTAGTCAGGAAGTTCATTCACTGACTAACTAACCAACTAATTGTTTATTTAAGTGATGTGACTGAACCGTATAATGCACTTTATCTTAATTTCATATCGCTTCATGTATTTAGAGTGATATATCTAGCTGAGGAAAAGTTCTTCCGAAAGTTGATGCATTCGTTAAATCTTGCTTCATTAACACCTTTTGTTGTTTGTTTTCTAAATATGGTATAGAAAACTGCAGCACGTTCGCCATTGGTTGCGATTCTTAGCTATATCTGATAACGTTTCAAACCACCAATTTGAGCTATCGCTCAGACCCAACCAAGGAATCGTTACGTACCAACCAATGCTAACCTACCGGAAATATCCTTCATCCCACGATGCCACGTTATGGGCTGACGACCTCTGCACTTTTTCCATCCCGTCCCTGGGCTAGCGAACAGCGATCTTCACAGAAGCCTCTGAGATGACATTCATAGCACATGTCCAAGCCACCGACTCTAGTGTTTCCAGATGACGACACTCGGCGAATGATGCCTAAACACACGTCGCCGGACCTCAGAGTTATTCACACGATGATACTACCATCAAACGCAAGCAGTTCGGTGGAGACAGCGATGGTTGAATACACAGAGTCGCTGCACATCCTCAGCTAGGAGAAGCTAGTTTTATCAGGCGTCGAGAAAGACAATGCGCACTGAAACATTATAAACCCGACCTTTGACAGCGAGGCTAACGTTACGATGACGCTATAGGTGGCTCAAGTTGACGTATTCCACTCTAGCTTTCATGATACGGTTGAAAATCTCGTCCGTCCGTCCGTCCGCCGACGAAGTCAAAGAGAATATACTATCTTATCGTCTGCACAAACGTCTGTTGTCGTTTTTTCCTCTATTTAAATTCATAAAAGGCGGGAATCAGTGTATGAAATAACTGTTTTTGTCGGTTTTTGTTCACTTCTATTTTTCTTTAAGAACCAATGAAGTTGTTCATAAGACTTTACACCAATATACAGTACGTGCAAAACAAGGCGGTGGACAGTCATCGTATGATGCGTTGTGTAGTGGTCTCGGTATGTCGAAATCAGCTGGTGCTAATCTCCGCCGTCATGGTGAAATAGCTATACGCAATGTAAGTATTATCTTTTATTATTAGTATTATTACTATTGTTCCATGTATTGATTTATTGTTGAGACACTTATACCTTGAACTCCTAGACTGAATCAGGTGGTTGTGTTAACGGTCCCCCTGTCTTCAAGCCTTCGACTTGGATTCTAACCTACAAGACGGTGAAGTAGCGTCAGGAGCTACGTTCCCATAGTTTCTGGTGATCAAAACAGGTTCATATGCATTTCGATCCTTCTGGCTTCTGGAGCCCAGTGTTTTCCAGCTCGCCTAGGTGGACTAGGATGTCCACTGGTCTTGTCCTAAGTTCTCAACGTTTGCGTTTTACCTTTCACTTATTTGAGGGACACCTGCGCCGCGTGAAAGCATCGCCTTTGTCGACGGGCAATATTAGCTGACTGACAGAATCAGGTTGGAAAAGATCTACTGGTAGTCGAACCAAAACCATGACTTCATCAGCCAATTCAATCCATAACATCCAGGTATTGGTTTGTAGGTGCGTCGGTGGCATAGCGGTTAGGACGCTCGCCGACCATGCACATGGTCCGGGGTTCGATCCCCGGCCGACGCACTCCTTTACCTCGCTAAACCAGAAATAAAGCTGGTAAAGAGGAAAGGTTGGGCATGAAGCTAGCAACCCCATCCTGTAAAAATAAACACTGCTACAGAAACTTCAAGCCTCCAGCTTGAAGCCCTATGTTCCACTGGGAACGTGAAGGAAAAATTAATTTAATTTAATTAATTGGTTTGTAGGGATTTGACTGATCGCTTACAGCACTTCATCGTGATCTGATATCGGTTAGAAAACTATTGGAAAACCTGGGAGTACTATTAGACAGTTGTTTCATCCTAATGTGGGACTCTATCAGTACGCATCCATCGGGGTTCGAACCCAGGACCTTCTGGTTACAAGGCGAGCTCCTATACCATTAAGCCACTGGGACGCGATCCAATGGCCAGTCCATGAATTCTAACTTCTGCCAATTCACGATATAGCGCAACCGCTAGCCAATGTCTTCGGCGAGTATTTCTCCTCACACCCGACCTGGTGTACCCTACTGGTCACGAATTCGAATCCCGGTGGGTGCGTACTGCTTTAGAGTCCCAAACTAGGACGAAACATCTGTCCAGTACTCCCAGTGGCTGGTCTTCCAATGGTTCTCTAACTAATGTCAGCTCATGATGAAAATCCTGTAACCAGTCAACCAAATCCCTACAAACCAAAATTGGATCTATTGGTTTGTGGATCGCTAGTCAGGTATTCTACTGGCTGCATCAAGAAGTTCAGCTAATGTGGCATGTGGTACTGATAAGATTTATCAGTAGTATGTAAAGAGACCTTCGTCGGCATAAAATATCAAATAGTGGAGAGATAGATTTGACGTTAAAGAGAGCAAATGATTTAGCGTTGAGGTAAAACACGGGAAACACGAAAATAAAACAGAAACACCCATGCACAATACAAAGGAAGGACATAGGATCTGCACGAATGACGATTTTCAGATAAGGTGTACATGATTTCATCACATAGAGATATCAAATTTCAAATAAACATTCCGTCACCAAGTCTTTTCTTCTTCTACCATTACACTACTGATGAGGCCTTAATTTTATTTAAACTGTTGTAGGCTTTTCCCGTATGTTATTTGAGTGATTGATACGTGACTCTCCGACCTACTTAGTCTCTTATCAGCTATGTAATGTATGATAGTGATCGATAATCTTGTGTCTGTTTATTAATAATAATAATAACAATAATTTGCTTTATTCCAAAACAGTACTTATCATACAGAATGGAATTCTCAGCATTTCACTGCATACAGTATTGCATCCAGTTAGTACACTAACAATAAACAAAACTCTACATAGATTAAGGGTAATCTCAGTTCATTATGACAACAGCGTATGAGCATGTCGGTAGCAGAGCCAAAAGTGAACAGAATGTTTGAAGGTGTTAGAAAAGTAGATACTAGCATATTTGCTGGCGTAAGTAGTAACAATACGGTCGAGATATACAGAATGTGAAGGAACGAAGAAGAATGTTTTAAGTAGAGTTTGTAAAGAGGAGAGAAACAAAGGAGCACATAACAGAAAAGAGAGAGAGAGTAAAAGAAAAGAAAGAAAGAAAACGCTGTACCTATAAATGATATGAGTTGGAAAGATAATATCCAATTGTTCTACTGACTATTTAATAAGTTATAGGTATCACGTCTAATGCTTTCTTTATCGCACAGAACACGAGCCAACCAAGTAGGGTATGGTTGAGTTTTTGTACTTACTAGTGCGAGCATATAGTTTTCTACATAGGCTTCTGGTTCTTCCTGATGAGATACAAGGGGAGAGTTGTGATTGAAGAGGGTGGTGGTGTCAGTTAGATAGATAGAATGGATTTAGCCCATTTTTCACATGAGTCCATATGCCTGTCAACCAGAATATTAACAATCTGGTTAAGTGGCACGTAGCTTACCCTGCTGACAACTTTTAACACCATACGTAATAAGCCATAGTCTTTCTTCAGTAGCCCAGGAAAAACTAAGCGGGAACAATAGAGAATAATAGGCAGAATGCGAGAGTTACCGAATTGCAGGAGTAAGGGTTGGGTTATACCGGAATGCCTTAACTTCTTGATGTAGAAGGTAAGACGGAATATTTTCTTAGAAATCATCAAAATATGAGACGACCAGGAAGGAAAGATCAGCAGATAGAATGACGCCAAGATATTTTGTTACTGTACTAGTATAATTTAACTTTTTGTGTTCGACAATCAATTTACGTTATCTCTGACGTAGACATGATATCCGGCTGTCGACCAAAGAGCGTGCATACTGCTCGGCAGCAGTTCACGACGTCCTTCTTTACGGCTGTCTGTCAGATATGGCCATTGAGAGTGAAATATACGAAAAGACTAGCTGTCAGTGATCATAGCTGCCCGCGTTCTATCTCCCGTGTTAAGTGGCTTAATAGGGTGAGTAAGTAATATTGAGTTTGTGAAGTGTTATGACCGGAACTACTATTGCCTAGTAGACTATAAGCGAATGCTAACTGAATGCGCTGGCTAATGTCCTAATTACACGTCAACAACAAAAATACCACAGGGTCACAAATACAGAAGAAAAGACTGGAGGTTGATAAGGGAGCTTTTACTGTCTCAAACAACAGTCATAAAAAGTTGACAGTGCTTGCGTATGTATATGTTTAAATTGACCTTGAGAAACACTAATGTCATTGATAAACTTATTACAGCTTAAGACCAATAGGATTCCAAAGGTCATAAGTAGCGTGAATGGACATGTGTTACGCATGCTTAACCATCGCCTTCCTCGACGGGCAATGGTCAGGTTGGAAAAGAGCCAGTGGTGGTCAAACCAAAACATGGCTTCATCAGCTAATGAAATCCACAACAGTTATATATGTCCAAACCAAGTTCACTTTCCACAACAGTTATTTTAAGCCAGCCGGCCACGTAGGGAGGTGTAGACTTCTTGACTGGTTGGAGTCCTTGGGATGATAAGGACCAATGAAGGCTGAAGACAAGTGGTGATATGGCTCAAAATTGTTGTCAGTGGCTGGCACAGATACATCCACTCCTTGTGACTTATAATTTCAAATAAAACTATATTTTTCTTCGATATTACTGTTCTCTTTGCCTCACATCTCTTTTTACCGTCTCTCTTTTGCGTTTCTTCTTTACTCTCTTCTCTGGTTTTGTGTACTGAGTGAAGTGCGGCGACTCGAACTGCTGCACATCGGCGCAAAGTTGTATGTTGAAACCAGTCAGTCAGTCAATGAGAGAAAATTTGGTCAAAAATCAATAAGTTGGATTAGGGTTAAACAACAGGCATTTAGAAATGACACGTAGAAAGTTAGGTCTATATATCATTAGGCGTCGAGGAGTAGGTAGTAAGGGAAAACCAATCGGTGAGGTTGTGAAACTATATTGATTGAGATGACTAGGACACGCGTTGCTCATGGTGAGCTATCGCCTTAGTCGGCAAGCAATCTCAGCTGACATAGGATGAGATTGGAAAAGAGCTAGTGGTTATTTTGATTTGACACTAGTAACTAGTGTGATGCGTCTAGTCCTCTGATTGGTGTAGACTGAGTTCTATCAGTCAGGTTGTAATGTGACCAGCATTCTAGCTAGCTCATCATCACGGTGCACATTGATTTGATGGTATGAGATGGTTGGAGGCAATCGGCAGGAAGTCTTGGACCTAGGTTTCGTGCTAGTTGGCTAATCTACACCAATCAGAGGACTAGATGGGTCACACTAGTTACTAGTGTCAAATCAAAATAACCACTACAGTCCTACAGGAGATCAATCCCGAGCCCGAATAGCTCAGTGGTAACGTCTCTGACTACAGCACTGGGTGACGCGGGTTCGAATCTCAGAAGGGACATGAGTTCTTCCATGGTTGCAGATACGCCTTGCTGACGAGTGCCAACTAGCACGAAACCTAGGTTCAAGGCTTCCTGTGGCCGATTGCCTCCAACCATCTTATACCATCAAGAGCTAGTGGTGTTGGTCAAACCAAAACCTTGAATCGGTGCATGAAGTCTGACAATTAGTTTAAGCCAGTTACGTAGGGAGGTGTAGACCGTCTGAATGATTGGGCTCCATAGGATACTAAGGACTATCCCCATTTTTATTCAATTTCATCATAGGGAGTGACTTGTTAACAGGGAATAATAGCATCGTTGACTTAGAATATGCGGGTGATATAGTCTTTCTAGATGGAGACGCTCACAAAATGCAGAGTCTTCTGAACACCTTAAGCATCAGTCTTCGAATGCTTGGCATGCGATTCACTCCCGCCAAATATAAGATGGTGCTACAAGACTGGACCACACTGACTCCTATCTCAGAAATACGGAGTGAAGTGGTAGAGCTTGTTGGCCACTTAATTTATTTGGGAAGCTGCATCAGCCCCAATGGATTGATCGCCGACGAAATCTCACCACGGATACAGAAAGCTAGTTTTGCATATGCCAGTTAATGCCGTCTCTATCGTAGACGTGATATCCGACTATCGACCAAAGGGCGAGTATACTGCCCAGCAGTTCTCTCTGTCCTCCTTTATGGCTGTGAGACCTGGCCATTGAGAGTGGCAGACATGGAAATGCCAGATAGCTGTCTTTGGTCATAGGTGCCTGCGTTCTATCTCCCTTGTGAAATGGTATAATAGGGTAAATAATATTGAGGTTAGGCGTTGAGTGCTAGGTGAGGAGGGAGGGGAAATCAATCGACGAGGCTGTGAATTTACATCGAATTAGATGGTTAGGGCATGTATTACGTATACATAGCCTAGTTATCGCCTTCCTCGATAATGGGCAATGTTAGCTGACATAGGGTCAGGATGGAAAAGAGTTAACGGTGGTCAAACCAAAACATGGCACCAGTCAATGAAATTTACAACAGTCAGTTTAAGCCAGTCACGTAGGAAGGTGTAGACTTCCTGAGTGGTTGGGGTCCTCGGGGCGGTAAAATCCAATGGTTGGAAACAATCGGTGACGGCTCGAAATCGTTCTCAATCGCTGGTGCAGATGATTTCCAATGAAACTGTTTTGTTCTTCGTATTACTATTCCTTTTGTCTTCTATCCCTGACTACTGTCTCTATTATGCATTTCTTCTAGTTTCTTCTCTGGCTTTGTGTGCTACATGGAAGGAGTTTGGCGACTTGAACTGCTGCATGCCGATGCAAAGTTCTATATAGAAAACAGACAAACAGACAGCTAGTTGGCACTCATCAGCAAGGCGTTTCTGCAGCCTTGAATGAACTCATATCCCTTCTGAGATTTTAACCTGTGTCACCCAGTGCTGCAGTCAGAGACGATACCACTGAGCTATTCAAGCTCGCGATTGACCTCCTGTAGGTCTGTACTGTTCTTCGTATTACTATTCCTTTTGTGTCATATCCTTGTTTACTGTCTCTATTATGCATTTCTCCTACTTTCTTCTCTTGCTTTATGTGCTACAAGGAGGAAGTGTGGCGACTTGAACTGCTGCACATCGATGCAAGGTTCTATGTCGAAAGCAGACAGGCAGACAGACTAGTGACTGGAGACAATTGGTGAAATACATCAAAGTCTTTCTCAATGGCTGGCACAGATGCATGCACTCTTTGTGATTTCTCCCTTTGTTCCTATTTTTACTCTTTCAATTTCCTGCCTTTGTATGCTACCTGAAAATGGAGTGTGTCAGTTTGAGGTGCTTCACTTCTGTACGGACTTCTTTGTTGAAATTCAGTCATTCGCATTTTATCAAAAGTCAATCAATTTTTCCAGATAGTACCATTTTAAGTCACAGGTTTTTTTTTAAAAAAAAATCACACTATTTCCATATTTATACTTTTTCAGCAAATTAGTGATCTCCTCCATAATAAATGGCGTCATTTACTTCAAGCATGTCAGCTGATATTTTTATGGTCGCCTAAAGTCCATCGAGGTATATTCTTCAATCCACCTGTATCATCTACAAACAGTGGATTATCCAATCAGAATTCAAGTACAACCGATGAAAATACTCCAATCTCACCGAGTTTTTCTACACCTACTCCGCCTACTCCAGATCCCTTAGCTGCACAAGCATGTGATGCTCGACTTGGTATGATAGCAGATGATTTAAGAATACGTCGGATACCATGTCGTAGTAAGCATATCACATATACACATGTGAAAGAATTACACAAAGAACTGTCTACATTTGATGTTTACGGTAAGATTATTTTACAGGATTATTGTATTCCGTGAGCACATAAAGTTTTGTCTTTATTAGTCGAGTTTATCGTGAGCTGATATCGGTTAGAGAACGAATGGAAAACGTACAGGGAGTACGGGACAACTGTTTCGTCCTATTTTGAGACTCTTCATCAGTACGCACCTATCGGGGTTCAAACCCAGGACCTTCTGGTGGTTGTGTACTGATGAAAGGTCCTAAACTAGAATGAAACAGCTGTCCATCACTCCCTGTAGGTTTTCCAATGGTTCTCTAACCGATATCAACTCATGATGAAATCCTGTAAGTAGATCTTTTTTATTGGATGGAGGATTTCATTATGAGGTGGCACCAGTTAGAGAACCACTGGAAAACCAGGGAGTACTAGACAACTATTTCATCTTAGTTTGAGACTCTTCATCAGTACGAACCCACCGGGGTTCGAAACCAGGACCCTCTGGTTACAAGGCTAAGTCGTAGACCATTGAGCCACTGGAACCCGATCCAATGGCCAGTCCATGAATTCCAACTTGTACCAATTCACGACATAACGCGACTATTTCGCAATGTCTTCTTCCCAGGTTTTCCAGTGCTTATCTAACTGATGTCGTCAGCTGATGATGAAATCCTCCATTCAGTCAAACAAAATCCCTACAAAACCAATACTTGAAGATCTATTTTAATTGGATTGTGTTTACATACGGAAACTGATGTTAATACTATGAATTGAATTTCAGCCTAGAAGTTTGAGCACAAGTGAAGCGGTTCATGTTGTCACAGTTCACAAATTAGTGTGAAAACTGCTCAAAGACTATGGAGTAACTCAATCCGCTATATGATGATACCACATGCGAAGCGACATACAACAGATAATTCAGCAAAGCCTTTGAAATGAAGCCAAAAGCAAGACAAGGTTGCTGTTTATTATCAGCAATAATATTCCTGATTGTGTGGTTGACTGGACCATTTGGCAAGTGTCGCACAGGGAATGAAAACTCAGGAATTCATCGGATTGAAGAGAAGACTGTAGAAGACCTAACCTTCATGGACGATTTTTGTCTAATGTCTAATATAAACTCGAAGATCTGAAGGCGTAAACCAACAAGACGGCAGAAGAAGCCACGATATCAGGACTCTAAGTGATGGAGGTGATGAGGATGCCTAATCCACAATAACTGGTACCAATCACCGTTAAGTTATCTAGGTCGCATCGTTTCAGCTATAAGTGGTACATATAACAATGTCTCGAGTACGCCATCCAGACAGGTTACACCTCCCTGTGTGACTCACATCAACGGCCAAATACATTATGGATTGATTCGACTACTCTTAAGGCTTTCTTTTCCAACCTAACCCTAAGTCAGCTAATATTTCTCAATAAGAAATGCGATGGCTTGTCATGCTTTATGCTACTGTGAATCATTAGTTTAAAGTGGAATTTGAAGGACTGAATTTTATACACTAACCGTCCTAGTGTTTTGTCTTCTCAACTGTTTCAAAATACTCGCGGTCCTGTTCAGTCGTCACATTAATTATTGTCGTTCCTGTTGTTGTTGTTGTTGTTGTTGAGGCATTTGCCAGTTTGACTAGGGGAATAGGTGTAATCTCAATGAAGTCTTTTATGATTTAAATTATGTAGGTTAATTCTTAGAACATTAGGGGGTATGCAACAAATTAATATGATTATTCACTCTCATTGTCTCATCTGCTATGCATATTATTAGATAGTTGAAGGCAATCGTCAGGAAGTCTCGCCTGACCTAGGTTTCGTGCTAGTTGGCACTCACCAGTCATTCAGCCAGGAGCATCTGCAACCTTGAAGGAACTCGTCCCTTCTGAGATTCGAATCCTCTTCACCTAGTGCTACAGTCAGACAAGACGTTGCCACTGAGCTATTCGGGCTTATGTTTGACTTCCTGTATGACTTCATTGGATACTAGAATGGTGGCCACATTGCAAACCTGACTAATAGAATTCAGTCTGCACCAACGCTGGGGACTAGACACATCACACTAGTCACTCGTATCCAATCTAAGTGACTGCTATTTATATATATATTTTTTTTTATGGTTACAGCTTGATTCCACACCGTATTTTTGGTACAAGTGTGGAATTTTCAGCGTGGATATCGGTAGCCCAAAATTCGCAGGCCAACCATAGATATCAGGTGTGCGTCGGCGAGGGCTCGAACCCCGGACCATGTGCATGGTCGGCGAGAGTCCTAACCACTGTGCCACCGACGCAGTATGGTGTGATTTGTTAGAATGAAATGTCTTCTATGACCTCCGCACACTATCTCCTCCACGTCACCCTTGGACTCATGCCCAACTCGTTTTCCACTCGGGGTTTACTCGAGGGATGACCAGGTGTTGTACGATTCCACTCAACTGTCTCCTAAGCATGTTTCCGATCCGTTTTCATTTGTTTCTACATATATTTGTGGAGCAAATGGCTTCTTGATTAGTTCGTTCGTCCCCGGAGGTGATTGTTGCTAATTCTTTCTGACCGGTCATCGGATTTTCTTTCAGTATCTAGTGAGGGGGGGGGCGGTATTCTGTTGCAAATATTTTTCGTGATGTGCAAAGTTTCTCAATCATACAGACGAAGTCACATAACATTGGTGCTGAAAATCCAGCTTTTGCTCTTTATGCTGATTACAGCAGGTTTCCACATTAATTTTGGATTAATGAAGATCTTTTCAGTGATTTCATTCTCAAAAGCAGCTAGCTGTACAATCGCACTTATATAGATTAGTTTACATGGATACAATTCTTATTTGTTTAATTCCACATAGTAACGAAGGTGATAATTGATATGTATCCATATATATATATATATGGTGATCTCTCTTTCTGTTTGCTCGCTTAGTCTGTGACCATTTCACTTTGATGAACCTGTCTCCTTTAACAATGTATATTCCCCTTATATTATATATAATATGTGTGTTTGTTTGACAGTCTGTTATATTTCGCTATGTATATATGGATCGATACTCCATTATAATTAGCCATTCATGTTAAGACTGTCTATTGATTTATTCACACACTTGTTTGGACATTCATATATATATTTTGCTCTCACACTATTGTGGGATACATTTGATTCTCCTTGTGTTTGGAAAATAGAAGTATCATCGAAAACCTAGTGGTCTTCTGATTTCCGTCTTTCTTGCGTCAGGACTATTAAATTCTCGACCAGTACATAACAATAATTTGGCGACGAGTACATAACAATAATAATTTTCAACTTGATATGAATGTTTGAAGTTGGGAAAATAGATTACAAGGGGCTTAGAGACAAGATTGCATAGGATTAGAAAACAATCTTGTCTCTAAGCCCCTTGTAATCTATTTTCCTACCTTCAAACTTTCATATCAAGTTGAAAATTATTACCACCTTCGTTACCTTGTTGAATTAAACAAATAAGAATTGTATCCATGTAAATTAATCTACATAAGTGCGATTGTACAGCTGCTTTTGAGAGTAAAATCGCCGCCGAAAAGATATCTTTTCTGAACTTCTTGTTCTTTTCAGTCTAATGAAGATCTGTCTTGCCTTTCCAGTTCTGGTTTTGTGATCCTCATATGTGCCAACTGCTTGTAGTTGAAACGATGCTTCCTAGATAAGTGATGGAAGTTACGTTTTTCAAATTTCTCCCGTTGATGCTGATTGGTGCATGTTGTTGTTGTTGTTGTCATTGATCAGGTGTCAATATTTTGTCTGCCTTCTTTATGTTCACTTGAAGTCCTGTCTGGCTGCTTCCTTTTCAAACTTGTTTGTTTTCGTCTGCATTAGGCATAAGTCGTCCTCGAAGTTTAGATCTCCTAGACTCTTCCTATCGGTCAAACTTATCCCTGTCTTCTCTCACTTCACGTCCTGCCGCAACCGAGAATATTGTTATTGATAGTAAGAAGTCTTGTCTTACTCTTCCCTTTGCTTCAAACTCATCGCTGAGTTTCCGTTGTGAGTCACTTGACATGTGTTATTGTAATGTGACTGTTGAGTGAGGTTGGTAATTATTTTCGGCAGGGTATAAGTGTCAAAGGTGTTTTAAAAGTCATTGAGGTTAAGGTAGAGGTTTGATTGCCATTCTATTCTCTGTTCGGTGATGGTGATGCGTAGACTTGCCATTTGATTCGCATATAATTTACTTTTCCTGAATCCAGCTTGTTCTTAGCTCTGTCGAACTTCTGCATCCAGTGTATCTTTTAGTCTGTTTAGAATGGCGTGACTTAGTATTTAGCTGGCGTGGACAAAAGGGCATGATTCTGTTGCAGTTTTTTGCAGGGGCCTAGGTGGCTATTATTTGGCAGTTTGATAAGTTAGTCTTTCTTTCAACCCGTAAGTATCTTTCTTTTTTTCTAAACGTTTTGCAATAGTTGCGTGAGCATATCCATTGCAGTTTCTGCATCTGTTTTCATTGCTTTAGAGGGAATTCCACCCGGTCCTGCTGCCTTCTCGGCTTTCTATAGCCTGATTGCATTCAAAACTTCGGCTGTTGTTGGAGGCTTGTTGCCTTCTGACATTCTGTGACTGTTCTTAGTATATTTCTGGTCAGTTAAGGAGTCCTTTGAAGTGATCAATCCATTGATATAAGTTTTCTTTGTCCCTCCTCTTTTGCACAGAAGTATATTTCATTGTAATCAACTTATCAATAAGCCGTCAGATCGTGAAATAACATCCATTTGAGTGCTATTGAAAACCAGGAAGTACTGGACACAGATATTTCGTCCTGGTGTGGGATTCTCCAGCAATACGCACCCATAACTTTATTTCCAGTTGAACCGCCTGTTAATGGTTCTCTAAGTCATATCTCTAATTTGAAACTATTCAAATACCTGTGAAAAAAACATATGAAAGTATGGAGAGTAACTTTGTAGGAATTTCATCTGTTTGGTTACGGATTGATGCCAGTTTGGATGACCATTGGGAATCAGGGAGTACTGAACAGCCTGCTATTTCTTCCTGCTTTGGAACTCTTCATCCGTACACATCCACTGGGGTTCGAACTCACAACCTTTCAGTCACGAGGCAAGTTCGCAGCTCATTCAGCTATTTAAACCTGATTCAATGGCCTACGAATTCTAACTTCCACCATTCCGTAATTTTTAGCCTCACTTCCAGCAAGTGTCATCGGCGAGTATTTCCCCTCTCTCAGGTCTGAATGATTTACGAACTCGCCTTGCAACTGGAAGGTTTTGTGTTCAAGTCCTGGAGGGTTCGTACTTCTGAAAAGTTCCAAACCGGGACGAAGTAGCTATCCAGTACTCCTCGGTGGTTTTCCAATGGTTTTTTGACTGATGTCAGCACATCAGACAAGTTAGTAAGCCGGTTACAATAAGTTAATAAGTGATTATCAGTCATCTAAAGTATGCATGAAGTGAAGGGTTGTCGTGGAAACCAATGATGATACTTAATCTGTAATAGATACCATCACTTTTTTTGGTTTTCTGAACTTTTTAATAAAATGACAATATGTAAGCTTTACTATAATGCTCAGTGTTATTATCATTGTGTACGAAACACTTAATTATCTTGTATTTCTAAAATTGTTTTTTCTTTAATCCTGTAACAGATCCTGATGCTAATCTTGAATTCCTTAGTCAATCTGGTCGTAATCAATGGCGCAAGTTATCTGAAAGTGGAGATGAAACACTTTTAGAGACAAAAAGTGGTCGACTCATTTATGGTAAGTATTCATTTTATAACAAAGACAAGGGCCAGGCAACAGATCATTTATTGAGAGAATCAAGATATATATATATATATATATATATCGATTTTTATGTACGTTATTGTCAGCGGAGAAGCAACGCCTTCTGATTGCTTGTTTTCCTACTGAAGGTTATTCTGTTCTGCTTGTGACCGACCGTTTCTCAGAAAGTTATGCCATATATATATCTGCAAATCGTATTTGCACACGTTAAGTCTGTTGTGATTGGTTGGTGATTTTCTCGAGGTTAAGAAGCTTTGTTATTGTTTTTCTCGTGACCTTGATTCGGGATATAACATTGGCGTAAATTGCTGTTTACAAATATGGCTTGCAGCCAGGTGTCACCACACTGCTAGTTCACTTATTTGGGAAGAAGTTTTTTATCAGCCCCAACAAGACTGATTACTGACGGATATAAAACGCCCATGAGGCATTTTTCAGCTTATATCATCTCTGGTGTAGACTTGTTATCCGGTTATTGATAAAAGAACATGTATACACTGCGTAACAATTCTCTCTATCTATCCTTCTTTGTGACTTTGAGACTTGCCTGTTGAAAGTGGAAGACTTGAAGTGGCTGGATGTCTTTAGTGCCATATATATTTAGATTTTATCTTTCGTGTTAAGTGGCGCATGATATGGGTGATTGATTGTTGGTTTGAGTCATGTTGGAGAGAGTGCTAACTAGTTGGCACTGGAGGTCATCGTGACTCTAAGGATCAATAGTTTATAACTGCTGATGGCATGGCTTAAAATCGTTCTCAGTTGGCACAGATGCGTGTACACTGATTGTGGTCTTCTGGATCCAATTAATTCTCATTATTGTCCGCATAATTATTCTTTGTGTAACATATTTCCGTTTAATCTCGTTCTCTTGAGAGTCTAAATGTCGCAAAATACGGAACCTACTTCTTGGAAGTTTATTATTATTATTATTATTGTCTTCTTTAGTTCCTAGAGGAACATAGGCCTTCAGCTGCACGCCTCCATTGCGTTCGGTTCTCCGCCAACGTTTTCACCTGGCTCCACGTCTGACCACATGCTTTCATTTCCTCTTCGCATCGCCTCCATGCCACTCTCGCACTCACCGCTTCCCTTTCGGGTTCCCCTCGAGCGATGGCCTGGAGTGTTATGTCACTTGATGGTTTGTTTTCTCAGAGTATGGTCAATCCATCTCCATTTCTTAGTGCATATTTGTTGCATAATCGGTTCCTGCTGGGTTGGTTCACTCCCAGAGATCCCTATTGCTGATGTTCTCTGGCCGACCATCTAATCTTCAGTAGTATTGAGTGAAGACAGCTGTTGATGAAGGTCTGAAGTTTGCTGGAAGTGCCCTTCGTGACGCGCCAAGTCTCTGATGTGTATAGTAGCACTGACTTCATAATGTAATTGAAAATCCGGATCTTATTTTCCATACTGAGTGCTGTTGATCTGCGCACAGACTTGAGGGTAATGAAATCTTGCCTTGCATTCCCGATCCTCGCTTTGATATCCTTATCAGTTCCGTCCGCCTGTAGTTGGATTAATGCTTCTCAGGTAGATGAAGGAGGCTGCTGCTTCTTTCAGATTTCTTCCACTTATGGTGATTGTTGTCTGTTTTTGTTGCTGCTGTTAATGTTGGTATTGGCTAGGAATCTTCATCACCTCTGTTTTCTCTATGTTCATGTGAATTCTTATCTTTGATGCTTCTTCTGCCAACTTGTTGTTTTTCACCTGCATATCTTCCCGTTTGTGGGAAATCAGATATATATCATCGGCGAAATCCAGGCCCAGTACTTATTTATGCCAATGTACCACATCTTTACCTTGAATAAGAAAAACAAGATCTTTAAAAAAAATTTGAGCCTATACTTCTTCATGATTTTACTGATTAAGTTATAATAGTCAATTGCTGAATTTGAGCACTTAGGGGTTCACCTAGTGCTTTCATGTGAAGAGTGAGTAGGTAACTAAACTATGCTGACTGTTCTTTTGTCAGAGAATCATTGAAACCGAAGAAGTATTAGATAGCTATCTGTTTTATCCTCCAAGTTTGGGATTATTCATCACTCGGCACTCATAACCCTTAGTTCAAACAAAAACTTGGCCTCACCAGTCAATGAAATCTACAACAGTTAGTCTAAGCCAGCCAGACACGTAGGGAGTAGTTGTAGACTTCTTGGTTGGGGTCCTCGAGACGGTAAAAACAAATGGTTGGAAACAATTGGTGACAGGGCTCAAAATCGTTCTCAATGGCTGGCGCTGATGCATCCACTCCTTGTGACTTATGATTTCCAATGAAACTGTTTTGTTCTTCGTTATTACTCCTCCTTTGTCTCACACCCTGCTTACTGTGTATATTATGCTTTTCTTCTACTTTCTTCTCTCGCTTTGTATGCTACAAGGATAGAGTGTGGCGACTTGAAGTTCCGCACTATGGTGCAAAGTTCTATGTCGAAAACAGACAGACAGACAGATTCATAACCCTTCCACGAGAAAGATCGAATCCAACGTGTTGACCATCCAACCACTGTCACCAGTGTTACAGAGAAAGTGAGTATTAGAAATGGCGTGAGACAAAAAACACTTAAAAACTTCTAATGAAAGAATCCCTGGTTCCCTAGATGGCTGATTGTTCAGTCGCCTCCTCTTATTCTACTTTTATTTCAATGGCTTAATCACTAAGCACTGGCTTCCCCCTCTCCCCTCTAATTCGATGTTAAGCGCTGAACATTTTGTCCAAACGGACAATACAACTTCCGCAAGTAAACTATCCGACTCACGGAACACTAAAACACCAAAAATATCAAGTCCCTTCAAACCAGAACTTGATAATTAATTTGGTATTCACTGCCGACGGGCTCTATGCAGGTAATTACCTGGAGTTCTAATAAGAAGTCGTAACCAACGGTGTCCACGACGAAGTCAAGTAGCAGGACAGTTAGTTGTCTAAGATACTAGCTGACGGTTGCGCCATACATATATGTGGCAAATTGTTAGAAGTTGGAATTTATGGGCCATTGGATTGGATCCCAGTAGTTGAATGGTCTACGAACTTGCCTTGTAACCGGAAGGTCCTGGGTTTGAATCCAGGTAGGCACGTACTAATGAGGACTCTCAAACTAGGACGAAACATTCCCATATTGAGTCATAAGAAAAAGGCACAAACAGCGAAAAAGATTTTTTGTACGATTCATTTTCATGAGCTGTACAATGGTAATTATAATTAACAAAGAAATCTTTAGACCAATTAGATATTGGTAAACTTTGTCCTTGAAAATTGTACTACTTAATGTAAAGTGTAAGCTGGGATGACTAATTGTAAGTTAGAAAGGAGACAGAAGTTGACATGTCTTATCAAGTGTGAGATAATGACTAATCGATAAGCTTGTGTAGAATGGACAGGAACTAGGGGAAAGGCTATAAAGTGTTTTTGTATAAAATCTGTATGAAAAAGCCATGCTATTAATAAACAGTAATGGAGTGGTAATAAAATGTGGATGATGGGAATAATTATAAAAGTATTAAGCATAAAAATAATAATAATAATAATGATAATAATAATAATAATAATAATAATAATAATGATAATAATAATAATGATAATAATAATGATAATAATAATAATAATTATAATAATAATAATAATGATAATAATAATAATAATAATGATAATAATAATAATAATGATAATAATAATAATAATGATAATAATAATGATAATAATAATAATAATAATGATAATAATAATAATAATGATAATAATAATGATAATAATAATAATAATGATAATAATAATAATAATGATAGTAATAATAATAATAGTGATAATAATAATAATGATAATAATAATAATAATGATAATAATAATAATAATGATAATAATAATAATGATAATGATAATGATAATAATAATGATGATGATGATGATAATAATAATAATAATAATGATAATAATAATAATAATGATAATAATAATAATAATGATAATAATAATAATGATAATGATAATAATAATAATAATGATGATGATAATAATAATAATAATAATGATAATAATAATAATAATAATAAGATCCTACCTTGAGCGCGCTTTTCGACTATTACGCTACATTTTGGTCATAAATAAAATCTATTATTACTCTAAAATTTTATGCAAAGTGTTTGCGGAAATTATCACAATTATTAACCTTTCGAACACTGAATCCAAAAAATACAATCTTATTGACAGATAATACACATAACTCACTGTTTGGATTTGTGGAATTTTTAAACATAAACACATCTATAATTGTATATATTGTTGGATTTATATGTTCAAGTTGCTCCAAGTCAGTGAGTTTATGGTTAAGATATCATTTTAGTTAAATGTACTGAACTATATTGCATGTTGTCTTATTGTATAGTTGTCGTCGCTTTTTGCCCTTTTTTCTGTGAACTGTTTCCTTTGTTGATGTTGTTCTCATTGTTTGTCCGTTATTTTCTGATTTTGAGGGGAGCAACCCAAAAAGTTGCTTCTCTCTAAACTTTTACTTAATGTAATCATTCTTTTCTCAGGCGTGAGGCTAGCAACCACACCCTGTAAACAAAGTTGCTACAGAACCTTCAGCAAAATGAACCTCTTTGCACCAAAAGAAAAAGTCTGTGTAGGAACATGGAACGTCCGAACTATGTACGAGACTGGAAAAGCTGCCCAGATCGCCAACGAGATGAAAAGATACGGAATACAAGTGCTGGGAATATGTGAGAGCAGATGGAATGGGAGTGGACTCACCAAATTGTCAACAGGTGAGTCAGTGATCTACTCCGGTCACCCAGAAGATAACCACACGCACACCGAGGGCGTGGCTATCATGATGTCACCAACGGCAACGAAAGCCCTGATACAATGGGAGGCGATTTCGTCCAGGATAATGACCGCCAGGTTCAACTCCAAAGGAAGGAAAGTGTCAATCATACAATGTTATGCACCCACAAACAACGCAGACCTCGAGAAG